CTTCTGGTCTGACCAAGACTACCTTTAAGCAGTAAGTTATATTAATGATAATAATTTGTGTATTTATTATATTATTATAGACCATACTCTTATCGTGTTAATCCTGAGGGTCAATTACAACCAGTACCAATATCACCAACATCAGCCACTGGACCAGGCTAGTATTATTATTTTTATTATTATTTATTTATTTATTTATTAATCTTTAATAATGTATTTACTGTATGTTTCAATGATAGGCTTTCCAAGAAATCTCCACCAAATTTGTTCATTGAAGCACGAAGAGGTAGTGTGTGCTGTTGCAATCAGTAATCCAGTCAGACACATTTATACAGGAGGAAAGGTATGGTATGGCCAAATTTAACCAAAAATGAAAAAAAGAGAATTCTTTATTTTTATAATTTTTTCTGATATATATACATGTTTTTATAATGTGTAGAAATTTTGAACAAATTCTAATCAAAATTAATTTTTTACGGATTTTTAAATTTGCTCAAAAATTGGGCCAAAGTCCCTGTACTGTAGTACATGGTCTCAGGTCAAGTTTTGCCCAAAAATAAAAAAAAGAGAATTCTCCATTTTTATAATTTTTTTTGATACATATACATGTTCGTATGCTCTGTAGAAAATTTGAACTGATTTTGAGCAAAACTGAATTTTTTATGAAATTTTGAAGTTGCTCAAAAATTCAACCAAAGTCCCTGTACTATAGCACAGGGTCGCTGGCCAAATTTTGCCAAAAATGAAAAGGAGAGAATTTTTTATTTTTATAATTTTTTCTAAGGCATATGAATGTTCTTATGTTGTCTAGAAAGTTTGAACTGATTTCGACCAAAACTGGATTTTTTATGAATTTTTAAGTTGCTCAAAAAGTCATGTAAAATTGTAGTGCTTGTCAGCTCATGAAGCTCATGCTGTTTAGCTGCTTTGTGGGAAACCCTGTCTGTTCAAAGTGTCACAAAATATTGTACGTTCACATAAATAATTATTATTTATTGATGTTAGGGTTGTGTAAAGGTCTGGGATCTCAACTCTGTCAATCCACAAGAGTTGTTAAGAATCCATTACATAATCTGGAGTGTTTGGGTGATAACTACATAAGATCTTGCAAGCTTCTTCCTGATGGTAGAACTCTTATAGTCGGAGGAGAAACTAACACTCTATACTTGTGGGACTTAGGATCAGTAAGTATTTGTAACAAGTTAATAATAACATTAAGTGTATGTACATCATGTTAAAGAGTATGATTTTGATATTTATTTTATTATTGATAGGGTGCTCCTAAAGTGATGTCACCACTTTGTTCTAATGCTACAGCTAGTTATG